GTGGAAAATTGTTAATTTCGAAAGGAAAACAAATAAAAATGCAATAATATCTACCACAGTTTCGTCAGACACTTTCAATAATTCTTCTCATCGATTCCATCTAATATCATAAACAGTATAGCCACACCGTCGACCAGTGCCTTGAGTTTTTTGCACCGTTTCCCAAAACCACCATTCTCTTTTTTTATGCCATCAGTGTTGGAATCTGATGTAAGGCAAGCCATACTCAGACTTAAAAATTCAAAGTGTCTGGACTATTATATATTGAAAAAACTTCACTTTTAGGAGCCATTACCTCACTTATTAATAAATCCATGGAGGAGGGGGTTTTCCCCCAAAAACTTAAGATCACAAAGATTTTGCCTTGCATAAAAAAGGGGATCCAGAAAATCTAGATAATTTCAGACCAGTTGCAATTGTTCCAGTAGTAAGTACAATTTTTGAAATTATAATTAAAGACAATTTAATGAACTACTTTGAGGACAAAGGACTGTTTAACCAGTCTCAGTTTGGTTTTCGCAGAGGGAAGTCCACTATTCGGGCTTTGGTTACATTGATTGACAGTGTGGTTGGAGACCTGGATGAGGGTCGCTCAGCCTCGGTCACCTTTCGAAGGCCTTCGACTGTGTTGACATTGAGATTCTGGCTCAAAAGCTTGAATACTATGGCGTCAGAGGCAATTCACTGAGTCTGATTGAATCGTATTTGGCAGACCGTGTGCAATATGTATATGTTAATGGTACCGAGTCTAATATGGTAACGGTTAGTAGGGGAGTTCCCCAAGGATCCATCCTCGGTCCCCTCCTGTTTCTAATTTATATTAATGATCTGGTAAAGGCCGTCGATACGGCGAACTGCATCCTATTTGCCGATGATTCGACCTTGATCTCTTCGGACAAGGATATTGCGACTTTGAAGGTGATGGCTGACGCTGATCTTCAGGCGGTTGACCAATGGTTCGCCGCCAATAAATTTAAGCTTAACACATCGAAGACGAAAAAATGCTAATAACATCCAACAAAAGAGCTGTAAAGTCACAGCCTGCTAAGCTTCTAGGTATCTTTCTCGATACCTTCCTAACCTGGTCGGCTCATATCGAGTATCTATGTTCCAAACTCTCGTCTCAAATCTTTGCATTAAGGCAATTAAAAGACTGCATTTCGCAGAAGACCTTAAAGACTATCTACTTTGCACTCTTTCACAGTCATCTGACCTATGGCATGCTTCTTTGGGGTAACTCTTCAGATGCTGATCGGGTTTGTCGGCTTCAGAAGGCAGCAGTTCTCATTCTCCAAGGGGCTAATCCTGAAGCAGATTGTCGTGAGCTTTTTATTAAATTTAAGATTCTAACTCTGCCTTCCCTATTCATATACTACAACCTTCTGGAGGTCCATGCTGGCTTGCAGAGGTATCCTACTCATGGTGACTACCACTGCTACGACACACGCGGATCTAGCAATATTGTTCCACTTAAGTCTAGATTAGCCACTACTCAGAAAAATAAACTAAATTTGAACATATATAACATATTTGTGAACAACTATAACCGCTTGTATAAAGCTAATGCTAAGCAATTTACGATAAGAAAATTTAAGTTATCGGTTAGAAGCTATCTTTCCAGTTATGGTTTTTACTCAGTTGAGGAATTTCTATCGCATATCCCAAGAATATAGTGTATACTGTTAACTCAAGCAAATATTTTTATTTATAATTTTTTTTTTCTATAAACATATGTTTATATACATATTATTTTTTTCGATTTCTTGTTAAATTTATCAAATTGTTATTGTATTTATATTTTCTTCTTTTTGTTATTGTTGCTGTTATTTCTATTTTGTTATATTACTGAGTTTCGATTTCACAAATACATGTATTTATAGGTGGTCAATAAACGATATCTATCTATCTATCTATTATAATAATAACAATTATTATTATTAGTATTATTATTATTATTATTATAAAAGAATTTTTATGCAGTTTTTTGTCCTTATTCAATCTATGGGGAATTTTTAAACGTTCCGCCAATTCATAGGCAAGTTTTAAAAATTCGGTTCTTGCGAGAAGCATTAGGCGGCTATTCATATCTAGCATGTGTTCCACAAGCTGTTGTTCATAGTTGGCTGGAAATGCGCAGCGATATTTGTTTTGTTTTTCTTTGTTGTTTCTTCACATTTCCCTAATCAGCAACATTGTGTCGCCTTCCTGATTAGTAGTTCGTTATTAAGCACTTTTTCAACTGCTGTTCTCATAACTCAACTTACATTTTTACCTATAACCTTCACCATTTCTATGTCCTGTATATCTTAAAATTATTTTGCGTCCAGGCATACTCTACATGCTTGTGTCCAATGCCACTCGACATAAACTTTGCAAACAAACACAGTTAGCTGTGTACATTTTTATACTTACCACTAATATATGTATGTTTTTGCAAAATAGGCACCTCCTAAGCACTTACCAATTGAGAGAAACTGGTCATCAAATTTAAAACATAAAATAGAAACTAGAAAACATAAAATATTACAGAAACTTTATTTTTGTCTGAACCTCTCAACGTATCGAGTACAACTAAAGTCAAGTTGCCAAGCGAGTCATATCATCATTTTATGGAAGCAGCAAATGGCATATAACCTGAATCAAAAACAGTAATACCCGCTGTCCGGTACTACCCTAATTAGGTATATTACAGAAGGGAGTAGAAAAACATAATTAATACACGATTATACAAAAACAAATTTTAAAATAATGCGACATGGTACTTAAAATTAAACCAAAAAGTCAAAATGAAAATGGCAGTGGAGGGCCATCTTCTTCCCCATCGTTTCCTTAAAATTTTCCCCTGATCAGACACAAAGATACGAAAAATTAAAAATATGTACAAAACCGAAAAATCATTTTGTATTTTAGAATGAAGAAGTGGTGCAATTCGAAAAATCAATTCCAAGATTCGATTCACTATATTTTTATGAAAAAGAACATCATGCATTTATTTCTTTTTTATTTTCTGTTAGTATATAAAAAAAGAGCGTTCTAGCGGCGGCATCGCCATTTGGTAAGGTGAAGTAATAAACGCTTTTTCCCAACTACAATTTAAGGTAAATAACACATTGAATCAGTCCAACCACTTTATTTTAATAATTATGTAAAAAAAGTGTTAAAAAATTATTTCCGCTAAACCTTAGGTTTATAATAGTATATTATGCAACAAGTGCGGTAAACAGCATTTGACTCACAAGTTTATTTGACACGAGCGGAGCGCAACAGAGCGAGTTTTTTATAAACGTGTGAGTTAAAAAGTTTATCGAACATTAGTTTTTGAGCACATTTTCGCAAAACAATATGAATACATGCACTGACAGGACTGTCAGAATTGACAAACGTCCAAATTCAAGGCGTGGGAAATATCTCCGAAAACATCCGATTGCTCCCAAACCCGTGCGGTAAAATGCACGGAAATGTCCGAAGTGGCTCGGATTCATGAGAAACGAAACTGACGTGGTGAAGTGACCCTTCCTGCACGCTAGATCGGTGGGTAATTAGGTATTTTACAGACGGGAGTAGAAAAAAGCATATATTTTTTTGGGTATATTTACCAGATGAGGGAGAGAATTTTAAGTTATTATATCAAAAATCGCCTTCTAGCGGCAGCACCTTTGAAAAAGTGTTAATTGAGAATCTGTAGAATAAAGGGATTACGTTGAAATGAAATTATTGCAAATATTTGCAAACAATATTCTATTACACATCCTATATTAATAACTATGAAAGTATTATACGTAGTTTTTTTTAAATAATTCTGAAATGTCCTGTTTCAGGGAACTGGATCACTGTAAAGTCCGCAGTATCGGTGTAGTGAAATCGTAAAGACCCAGAACTGTGTTGCCTGGTGCTAGACTCTAGAAAAAATTGACACTTGTTAATTTACTGCGTTATTTGTGTTTTTCCCCATTTTGATGTTCTCGACAATATTAAACTAAAAAGCGAAACTATTTACTGTACAAAAAATTTTAAATAACAATTTTGGGTTCAGGAGTGGTTGAACCAACATTCGAATTGATTCATTGAATGATGACAACTATATTAGAACAATTCAATAAATCAACCAAGCTGAAACGACAAGCAAATTGTTAAAATTTCATCATCATGCTTTGCCACGCTTTCAGATAAGGGACTAGTCAATATTTTTATTTTTTATTATATGGCACAACTTAAGGTATTTTTTATTAATTTATTTTGCCGCATCTGTATATCCAGGTTGTCAAGTTCTGAAATCAGTATTTAACCAAATAAATAGTTATTTATTAAATCGAAATTCATAATAACATATGTTTGCTATAGTGAACGAGGGACGAGTGGACTAAATTTTCATTAAGTTGATAGGGCTGATCTACATTTTTATGCGATTTAAGCATTGCCATGATCGATAATCGATTAGTTAGTTAAAACCTAAATTCAATTCTGAATCGTCGTGGTCCGGGGAACTGGATCATTAAATAATCATTGTAAACAAGAGGTTACTATAACAGGAATTGAGGAAAATCAATTCGCATTATCCGTTCAGTGAAATCGCAAAGACCGAGAACTGCAACTGTCAGGAAGTTGAATAGTGGTGTATTGTCGATAAAAAGACATAATTGACGCTTCTAAGTTTACTACTTCATTCGAATTATTTTCCATTTTGCTATTCTTGCGAATATTATTAAAAAAAAACGAAAATCTACAAAAATTTTAATCAGACATTTTGGGTTCAAGTGTGGTTGATCAAACACTTGAAATGATCGATTTAATGATATACAGAAAGAAATGGGTCATTGCGACAATCATATTAGAACAATTAAATTAATCAAAGTACTTGAAGCGATAAACAAATTGCCAAAATTTCATCATCGTGCTATTGCCGCGCTTTAAAAAAAAATAATTTTTTGTTAATTTATTTTACCGGATCTCTATATACATATCCAGGTTGTCAAGTTTAAAATAAGTATTTAACAGGATAAGTAGTTATTTATTTAAAAAAAATTACAACAACGTTTGTTTGCTATAGTGAACATAGGACAAGTGGACTAAATTTTAATTAATTAAGTTGTCCACTTTTATCGAAATTTATACGCGATTTAAGCGTTGCAATGATCGATGATCGCTTGAACTCTCTCGGGATGATCCGGATCGTTCCAGAAACCGTTGAAACGGGCATCCTTCAGAGCCTGGACTGCGGTGGCCGGCAGATTGTTCAACAATGTGTCAGACAAAGTTTGAATGGCCTGTGCAAACTGCGAGTCGAATGGTGTACCATCAACTACAGCCTACAAAATGCAAGTGTTCAATTGAGTTGACGATTAAAACGTTTATTCCTAGTTTTCGCTTAACCCCATCGCCGAAACACGAAAAAGTATCTAAAGCAATTGAAACTTACACCTAACCTTTTGTGACGGAAGACGGAGCGTTTCTATCGACTGTTTTTCACCACACCGCAATGCGAGAAATGACCTATTTTTGTCAACTAAACCAGGGGTGACTTGAGAGATTCATACTCTCGTAACTATGTATGAATTTGTATGTTTCTATAGGAGTTCCTGATAACTATTACATTCTCGATCGAACGATGCCAAAAATCCCTTTTGACTTGTAAATGTACATATTAAGGTAAATACATTTTGAGTTTATTTGAAATATTGTTCCTGAAAAAAATACAGGCTGCTATTTTCAGAACCATATTTTTTTAACGTTATAAAATTATTAAATATTTTTAATTGCTAAGTATATCCATTTTTATGCACTTCTTTCGAAAGAAAATACGTTCGAGAATGGTTTTCTATAGCTCTTACAGAAATACAAATTTGCCCGCCCTCTGTCGATAACCAGTACGTACCAACGAACTATCGATCTTGGAATTCAATGTAAAATTGTTGACGAACCTGGGATGGTTCTCATCGGCAATGGTACTGTTCCATATACCAGACCAGTGGATGTTTTCTATGGTCAACCTGCAACACACGAATGTTTTCGCATTCCAAACGATGCAATATGTTTATTTCCATCAACAATATCACATTGTAATGGCAAAGGAAAAGTTAAAAGTTTTTCTTCTGTTAACCTTGAAAAAAGATTACGTCGGGCGATAATCTTAATTTGGATATTAAAAACCGTTTTCAAGATAGTATAAAACATAATCTTTATCTAAATTCTAAAAAAAAATTCTCATAAAAATTATTCGAATAGAAACTAACCAAAACTCAATAGCTGTTTCAAATTTGAAGGATTTTTTTTAAGGATCCTCCAAGGACGAAAACTATTCTAGATATGTCCCATCATAAATCGTGTAAAATTAAATGTGCTTTGCCTATGATGCGATCGAGCTATATGATAATGTTAATAAATATTTTGAATCCCGTTCAGTTATAGCATTTAGAAAAAAAAATGAGTGCCGATTTGCTGGCATTACAAATCTCTGTGCCAAACGAACTATTTTTTACCAATAATGAAATTTATTTTTCTTTTGTTATTATAGCTTGTTGATTTAGTATTGACGTTTGTCAATTCTGCCGGTGATGTCAGTCAATGTATTCGTGTTGTTTTGCAAAAATGTATCAAAACTAATACACAGAAAAATGTTATGCAATATATCAGACAATTTAAATAACACGTGCTATAAGCTACAAGTAAAATCTAGTCGAGTAGTCGGTAAGTTAAGAAATATTTATAATTTAAGTTTCCCACAGAAATTTTACATACTGTTCTATCGAACTGTAGTTGTTTTTGCAGTTTTTATATTAATACATGGCCAAGACTAATTGTGTGATTTTCAAATTTCCACGTCTCATCAGTACAAACAAAACAACTGAAGGTTAGGATCTGCTCTCTGGCAAATGCCGTTTACCGCACTTGTTGCATAATATACTATTACTTACGAGAAAGACGCTGTTCCGGATTGGGCTTCGATGTCGGATCCTGTTACGGACCAGTCGAAATCGCCGGTGATGATAAAGTCGTTCCAATGTATGCCCCAGTCGAAGTACGCCCAAATTCCGGAGTCCTCCGAACCGCCGCTGATCCCCGTCAATTGATCGATATCAAAAAACGGCAGATTATTCCAAACTATGTTGGTAAAGTTGTTTTCGAATCTGGTGGAGACAAATTGACGACCTTTAGGTACCACGAGGTGCTTTCGACGTAGCCATTTACTTACTGCACGTTCCCAAGGTCGACAGGGAGCGACAGATTCCTCACGTGAATAGGGTTGTGTTGAGGAACGCCGATTGCCGGAAGACCGTCCACCATAGATTTGTTGGCGCAGCCGATGAACCAGCGCACCACATCCTCGAAAACACGGCCACTGGGAGGCACGACTGAAAATCATTCCACTTCTATAGCCTCCCTACATGAATTTAAACCTTGATCCGGCCTTGCCACGAGCGTGGGAGCCGAAACCAATCAGGCCCACCAAACCGGCGAATAAAACTAGTTTCATGTTTGCCATGTGGCGTTTGTTGACGAATTTTGGTTGAGTTAAGTGATCGTCCAACCATTAGATTGATCATTTTTATATACTTTTTCGTAGATAACCATCTTGATATTCTTTCTGAAGATAAATTAATCAAGGAACATGAAAGTGTGTGGTTCGATAAAACGAAAAAAATTGAAAGCCTATTACGGACGGCAAATATACTGTAACTTTGGAAATGGTTCATTTTAATACTGCATAAATAGGCTTTTATTAACTAAAACGAAAAACATGTTTGCTCCAGGGTTTGAAGAAAAATCGTATTGGCCTTGGACAATAGTGCGCGATTGCTTCACAGTCTAGACGTAAGATTGTTTACGATGAATCCAGTAACCATCAAGAAAGTGATTTCTCAATAATGATGTTAAATATATAATTTACAGATAATAAAAACTGCTTTCATGATACAGACGTTACTTTGTCAAATGTCAGTAAAGTGAATTACTGTTGTTTGACTAAATTTATTCCAAAAAACTGCTCAATTTTGATGCAGTTCCGGGTGTATTAACTTTGACAAACGCTGGACGTATTTCGGTATATTCCAAGTTAATATCTAGGGTTGTGAAATCGACCGGTCATTGTTTTTGTGTCAATTGACCGAAATTATTTTAAATTTAGATATTGTTTTTGGGATTCCCCGAATCTGATTTGGGTATTCCTTGAAAAGGGTTATATCAAGGTATTATTTAAAATATTTTGATCGAATTTGACTAGTCAGTTAAGAAGTGGCCAATTGTCGGTCAATTGACCAGCCCCAGCACTTTATACCATAAACATTTTCTCTTTTTTTTAACAACGAAAATAATTATTTTGCTTGCACCATTCAACTGATGTTTAGAGAATAGAAATATTGTGGTAAAATAGCCAAAAGTGGACGTGTTTCCCTAAAATGTTGTAATTCTATTAGATGAGATTTTTTTTTGTGTGAAATGCAAAAATTCTTATCACACAAGCATGTGCTCGTGAAACCGTCGACCTCATGGATATGCCATCAGAGATTGGAGGACTGAGCTGGCGTTGTTAGGCTACTATTGCCAAATTAATTTATTTAACTCAAGAAAATTTTATAAAGCTAATTGAAAACAAAGTAGAGTCAAACATTGCAGATTCTCAATTATCGATCTGAATCATCAAAAAATAACTTTCCCTGATAAAATATGAGTATTTTGCTATATGGTTCGGATTATAAAATTAAAAACCAGCCATTGAAAATAATGTTACCAATAATATAGCGTTGTAAGAGAAGGGTTTGCGGGCACGCGAAATTAAGCGGTTCGTCTGACAACGGTGTACTTTCAAACTCAAAATTTATTTTCGAAAAATACATTTAAAAAACAACAAAACACTCATTTTCGAGAAAACACTCAATTGTATCTAAGTTGTACAATCCTTTAGATATCCTATCAATTTCTTAAAGCCTTTTAAAACGGTATTTGGATTAGTTTCCAGCCAGAAGTCAGATTCCCAACAGATTCAAAATCTTATCTCATTATGCGTGAGCAATTGTGCCTGAAATGATGCTCTAGTAAAAATTGATGCGCCTCGAACGCTTAAACTAACCAAAACTAACCAGGTGTGCTCGAAGGACCATTTGAGATTCTAGTGACGTTGCGAACAGAAAAGGATGGTGGTCATATTTTTGAGTTTACACTAAATTGTATGTTGAACACCGGCAATGCTATCAGTTTAATCAAGAACATATACTTACCTCCTAGTTGTATAAATACTAGCAGACCTAGATAAGACATATTTTGGAATTAATAAATCTGCTTTAGAGGTAGGTTTATGCAAGAAAAATGTAATAATCAATTATTAATTAATATCGAACAAAATTATGGACCTTCCATTGAAGTGAATTGCAACTTCTGAGGTTGAACAAAAATTTCAAAAAGAATATGTGCAAAAAAAATAGAAAAACATTCGTCTCCACGGATCACGCTAAGAGTTGTGCTTTTTTGTGCAATGTCCCTTACAATGTTTTATATTGACAATAATATAATATTTTTTATTACCCTTGCAAAATTTATTACATCACACTAATGAAATGTGTTACTTTTAAGAAACTAAAAAAAAAACTGGTATTAAAATAAAAAATGCAAATAGCAAAATTTTATTGCACTCAAAAATCCAAAATATTTCGATATTGAACATGTTTCATCAGTCTCTGGAGTTCGTGCCCTGCCATAATTTGTTCCGGAAATAGATCGCTTATTTTATTTTATTTTTTATTTTTATTTTTATTCTTTTATAACGGTAGGAAATAATGATGGACATCTTTCATTACTTCTCCTTTCAGGTTGGCCAAGATAATAAATCACACACACATGGTCTGTTCATAGATATAAGAAACTGATCAATTGCTTTTGAATGGATGCAACAATATTATTGCCTACAGTTTCGGAATTTAAACTCAGGTTAAATTATGGTCCGTAATAGAAAATAATTTTATACCTACCTGTGTTTAATATTCTTTGGTTTGGTATACTACTTAGTTTAAGTTTATTAATAATCATTCCTATTTCGTGTGTAATACAGCGCGTGTTGAATCGTGTGCGAATTATGCAAAATATATGCCAGTTAGTGTATCTTAGGAGATGCTCCCGCCCAAATGTAGAAAACACTATTCTATTGAGACTAAGGAAATTAGAAACAATGTTTATTTGACTCTCATTGAACATTAACTATATGGAAAATTGTGAATAATCCCATTTCAGCAACTAAAAAAAGAAGCGATGCTGACATTTTCTCGGGTGTAGATGAAAGTGATCAAGATATAATACGGCGTAAAATTTGCCAGTTATACGAGGAACAAGGCGTGCCTACATTAGATATCTTAATTAGGAGGCTTGAAAAAGATGAAACCGGTGTTAAATGTGACAGAACTACCTTATGGAAGTGTATTCAACATATGGATTTTAGATTTAAAAATCTGACAAAAGGCAAGTTTTAATGGAATCTTTTAGAATTCGAAAATGGCGAATGGAATATCTAGAAAAAATTAGGATTTACAGAGAACAACAAAGGTTAATTATTTTCTTGGATGAAACCTGATTCGACACTTATGATACCCTGGAAAAGGGTTGGGTTGACCATGTAAATAACGAAGAGGTATACTCAGCATACGTCGATAAACCCATATTTTTAACGCCTCTAATTTGTCTAGCGTACCAGTCTTTAGCGTCCACGACTCGACCCCATACAATACCACAGAAAACAGATAGCATTTAACGAAATTATACCGGATTTGGGTATTAAGGCTTTTGTCATTTAGCAAGTTTCGCATTTTCAAAAATGTTGCTCTGGCCATTTCTATTTTCGTTCTTATCTCCACATCAGGATTTAAACGTTTTCCAATCCAGCAACCCGAATATCTAAATTTCTGCACTTTTGATATAACTGTCCCGCGTATTCTTATGTCCAGAGGCTGGTTCGGGGTTCGGCTTATTACCATCGTTTCTGTCTTTTTTTATTTATTTGTAGCCCCATGCGGTCACTTGCGGTTGTTATTTTATTTATTAGATTTTGAAGACCTTCGGGACTGTCAGCAATTATAACGGTGTCGTCCGCATACCTTAAGTTATTTATTAGTCTTCCGTTAACTCTAATGCCGTCTTGCACTTCTCTCAATGCTTGCTGAAATATTGCTTCGGAGTACATATTAAACAACATTGGGCTAAGTATGCGTCGCTGTCTTACTCCACGTTTAATAGGCACTGTTTTGGTTTCGTGGCTGTCGAGTTTTATTGAGGCTACTTGGTGTTCGTACAAGTTCTGTATGATCTTCATAACTTGTGAGTCAATGCCTTTAGTTTCAAGTATTTCTATCAAGTCTCTGTGCTTGACACAGTCGAAGGCTTTTGTGTAATCTATAAAGGACAAATAGACATCCTTTCGTTGGTCCCTACATTTTTGCAGTAATATCGACAGCGCAAACAACGCTTCACGGGTTCCAAGCCCTTCCCGAAAACCCATCTGCTCCTTACTTATATCTTGATCGCATTTTCTTTTTATACGATTGTAAAGAACTTTTAGGAATAATTTTAACATCTGGCTCATCAGACTGATCATGCGGAACTCGTCGCACTTTTTTGCTCCAGGTTTCTTTGGAATGAGAATGAAGGTCGACTTCATCCAGTCTTGTGGCATAACCCCAGTTTTGTAAATGCTGTTAAAGAACTGGACTACAATTTTTAAGTTTTCTTTGTTGATAAGCTTAATTAATTCTGGATAGATATTATCTGGGCCAGCCTCTTTCCGGGTTTTAAGACCATCTAAGGCTTTTTCAACTTCGGCCGCGATTATTTCTGGTCCTTGTTCTAGTTGGATCTGATTGTCATAGAAATAGTGATTGTCATCAAAAATGTCTGATACATATTTTACCCAGACTTCTTCTTCTTTTTCGTGGTTGGTTGCCAGCTTGCCTTCTTCATCTAAGATTTTTATGTGGGGCTGTTGTTTCCTGCTTCGGGTAATTTCTTTTATTTTTTTGTGAATGTTGAATGCGTCGTGTTTTGTAATAAGTTCCTCCATGTCCTGACACTTCACCTTCATGCAGGACTCCTTAGCTGTCCTAATTTTGCGTTTAATAATACACTATGTTTCTTTATATTTCTGCAAATTATTTTGTTTGAATCCTCTGCGCTTATCTATTAAAAGTAATATTTCGTCGGTCATCCATGTTTTATGCGGTCGCTTGTTGTTTGTTGTCGCTAATTGTTCTTGGGTTTCCAGCAGAGAGACCCTGAGCTGCTCCCAGATGTCCTCTACTTTATTTACATTTACACTCTCTCTATTTTGTATATTTTGTGGTTGTCGGATCTCACTCAGTCTTTTATTTAGCTGATC